CTTAGACAGTAACAAAATCTACCTGTCTGAACATGCTCAATCAGAATTGCAAGATATTCACTCGATGTGAAAATTCAAAATAAAATGAATCACGCTTAAATGAATCCATTAAAGTAAAACGATTCCGTTTATTTCGACTATTCAGTACTTATTTCATGAACTTACTTGGCTGTTCAATGCAATACTCGCCGTTAAACCCGCATTCTGGTTCATCCTCTGGCGGTTTTCCTCCTGGCCAATCAACTATTAGGTTACTTTTGAACATCAGACCCTGTAAGACTTTATTAAAACCGATAATCAGCGGCAAGTTTACTTGTTTATCCATATACCGGAAGCGTATCATTTTTCTCGATAAAATAGCCGCTCGGCACCAGACCATATGTCAAATTGAATTTGCTCTCAGGTAAATGTTGCCTGGTCAACAGCGTAAAATTGCCCTCTGCGTCACCTTTCTCGTCGATCTGCATTTCAAAGCCCTGGATACCTTAAACGTTTTGTTGAGAAAAAGTTTAAAATCCATTTACAGTAAGAGAGAACAAGTTTTAGAATCAGATCTCTACAGAAATAAGCGCCTGTGAGAACGGCTGTGAAGCGTTTTCTTATAATGAGAGAGCCCATCATCTTATGTGAAGTCACAATCATCTTCGCTCGTGTAGCGTTACCATAGCATATTTCAAATTCCTTTTCAAAGTCAAGTACCATTTTTTGTAAAGTGTGGCATCATCTATGTTATGAATCTTGTGCAACGATACCTGAGAAGTTAGTGTCAAACAGTTCTGCGAGTGACCGAATGGTATAATTCCTCTAGCACTCATCAAGGGCGCACTGTGTCAGCTAGCTTGAAAAATGCGAGATGCGACCATTCACACAGACTCTGACATGCCATTCTCATCAAATTACAGTCAAAAACGCTGTAGGCCTTAACGCCTGTGTGATTTCACTCTGTCAAAAGTTTACATTTCACAGACAGCGCCATTTAAAATGCACTAATTCAAGGTCAAATTTGAGTAGTGATCAATACCATCTTCTCTGCAAACATTTTCACATACACAAGCAAGTTACAATTGGCCGCAAAAGATATGACAACAAACTAAATTAAGATCATTTCACAGTATTCATTGTTACCCACTGTTTAATTTTTGATATTTAGTTTTGATGGCTGCATTAAAATCTTTAGCTTATCTCCAACTGCACTATTAATCCTTACGTGCATGTTCAAACGACGAAAAATAGCCTTTAACAGAGGTTAGGGCTCTTTTATATGGTTCGACCCACCGTCATGTTGAAAATGTGCACAACCCTTTGCCTACTCAATTTCGTTCTTAGCTCTAACCATACAACACTTTCGACAGAGTCAAAAAATTTCTCGTTTTCCCTTAATCATGCAAGTGTGAGAAGCTGTATCTATGCCCATGTTGCCATCATATGGTTCTGTGGCAGGTAGAAACTAACAATGTCAACAGGCTTAATGCAAATATTCGACTGCAAGATGTCGTATCGCATGCTTATAGTAAAGCGATGGAATAAACGTCCAGAAATGGTGCGGCATGGCAATTTTATTTTTACTAGCGTGTTTCCTTCAACAGAGGTCCGTAGTTCCTGTAAACTGACTGCACATTTTTCGGTCTTTGTTTAAATCGTTAGTCACTTCGCAGTTTCATATCGCTGTTTACGATATGATGCCACTTTTTCTTTGACCTTCCTCTGCTTTTCTTCCTGGCAGCATCAGTGCTTGAACCACTTTCCAAAGTACTCGATGGGTCACGTGATCGAACCAACAGAGCCTGAATTCCATTCCATTCTCTGAAATTGGTGCAACCCTCAGAGTGCCTCTTATGAAACTGTTTCGTCTGTGGTCCTTTCTGTCGACACCACACATCCATCTGAGCATTCGCATTCTACCGAATTCAGCTACTGTTCGTCTCTTCCAGGTAGCCAAACATTCCGATATAACTAACGATCAGTACAACGTCCCTCTCAGTTTGGTGGGCATCTTTTTGTTACAGTACTAGACTCACTTCTCTCCATTTGAGGCACATTATTTTAGACTGATTTCTAAATTCACTCACGATTTCCCATTGTCTTGCAGGATGGAACCAAAATACTTGATTTCTTGGGTTTGATGCAGCATGCTCCCCTTCAATTTCACGGATTTGTTGACTTTCATTCTGTTCTCTAAAATGAAATAACCCATGTGTTCTGACTTCGCTGAGTTGAACATCGATCTTCTTAAGGGCTGTTTTCCATGACTCAGAGTTTGCTTCCACTGCTTCTCTGATCTCACAGCTCAGCACAGCGGCATCTGCATAGAGCATGCAGTACGGGACCGCTTACTGCAGATGTTTAATTATCCCGTCTGTCATCATCAAGAACGTTAATGGGCTCAATGCTGAACCTTAATGGATTCTTAAACGCACAGAGAATTTTTCCATTTCGCCACATGTACTTCCAACTGTCGTTGCCACCCCGTCGGGCATATTTTGGTAGGCCTGAAATATTTTTCTGACACCAGCTTCTAACTCATTCTCCATCGAACGGTCTGCCTCAGAATTCGATCAAAAGTTTTCTACAGTTCTAGAAACAAAATGGCGTCTAAGGTTTACCGGCATGGAAAAGGTCAAGTTAGGTTCGCGTTGACATCAACCTCCGTACTCACTCTTTTGTCCGGCATTCTTTCATATCGCTTCCCGGTGTAGCTGAAAAATTTAATTTCCTAATAATATTAACTGAGGACCATATCCGCAATGGACTCTGCCGTAATCCGTTAGATGCTACCCGACATGCCCGTTAAGATCACCTTTGATTATCACATTTCAGTTGTTCTGTATGTTTGCAGCGCATGTCTGTGTACTCCCATAATTTCGACTTTCCGGCATCACCCTGGACAGTCAGAGGGGGACAGGCACGTACGATATTTAGGATATAACTTTCCCATGCGCGACTGACTACGAATACCTTTTCTTCTGTAGCTTCATTCGCCATAACTCCAACTTCATCTCAACTGCTTGATGTTTCACAGTAAATGAGTTCATGACCCAGTCGATCTCTGAACTTTTCATGCTTCCATTTCATCTTCTGAATGCAAGCGATCTGAACTATTCTTCAATGAACATCCTCCTCTAGTTCAACACCCCTTCCCATCACTGCTACAAAGGGAAAATATTCAATTTTCTCCGTTCGTTTACAAAATCGCAGTTTCTTCCACCGTGACCGTCATCGTCCCATGCGCTGATTCCTTAGCGCATTTATCTCAGCCGCTGCGATCTGCTGGGGTCGCCTATGGGAAAGCCTGCCCAACGCCAACCCGTCTTTCCCAAACAAACTTGGAACCGGCTGCAGCTCGTTGGGGAAGCAGCATGCTTAACTGATGGCCGCATGTATTCGCCATGTCACTGCGCTATCATTGGGCCTTGGAATATTGTCTAGAGCCAATTAACACTGTCGTTATGTTGTCTGCGACTGATTATTAGATATTTAATTTCGCATGCAACCCTCATATCTGGAGGTTGTTCCACTATCCGAAATTCGTGGATGTGCTCGGCCGCATCTGACCCTTACTGAACCAAGCCCGATGCGTCCTGACAACCATGGTAAAAAACGTTCAGAATTGATCAAAATTTGGTCTACGAAAATATGGCGATGTTTCAATAATTCATTCAGAATTTTGCATGCAGCAAAACGTTTCTACTTAAAATGAAGCATCAATGCCATCCTACCTTCATCGAATTCTCTAAAAATGTTTTACCAGTTAATTTATCCTGGTCTTTAAGCAACTTCTGCAACAAAATAATAAGTGACAATTTCTTTCAAAGACTCCTGATTCTGCGGATCAAATCATAAAATCTTATTATATTTAGAAGCATGAAAACACGCCGTATTCACTGGTCTATGTCTCAGCTTCAAAAGGCTCTAAAAATGGCCAACGTCTTAACCAAGAAACATGGATGAAAAACAGTTCATTCGAACTGTAGAAACTAAAATATTTCGAATTCATGGAAGAAAAGAACGCTTATAAAATAGCCAACAACGACCTGCGAAATACTGTACGTAAATAGTTACCACACTTACTGTTAGTGTAGGATGTGACCTGTTTCAACGACTTTCTATGCTTACAGGAGCAAGAATGAGTTGCAACAAAGTAGAGCAAAGAGTGGGTGAAAGCGTGCAACGCTAGAAACTTACTACGCAAGTTCGACAAACGAAGCAGACTATGCTTATAACAAGTCAAGATGTTCGGATAATTTCTTAGTGAAGGGGGGAGGCAAATGTATTACCATTCCAGAAAAGAATTGCGCAGGCAGCAGTTTCCCTTTACAACCAATCAGACATATAGAAACCCAGAAATTCGTGATTCCAGGAATCAACACTACAAAAGGTAAATTGCGGGTTGGAACGTTCTTTACTTTTCTAATGAAAGCAAGCTAGGCTGCATCTGCCGTAAGGCCCGTTGGTACAGACTCGATGTACTGGCCGACACGAATGCGCGCCTCCTTGGGGAAGGAGCGCATGGTCAAAAAGACGGGTGATAATTTTAGTGGTCAGGCCACAGTAGATGACGCCGTGCTGGTGTGGGTATCCTTTTGCACCCTACAGTAATCTGAGCGGTCATTTTAGTGGCACAAGTGTTGGAGGGAATTCTGGTCGGCCGCGTGAATGTCAAAAAGGCGATGACGAATATCATTCTCGCCTATTCCCCAACAAATATGTCGAGTGACAGTGACAACGACACCTTCTATGACTGTTTCCAGCAGGTTATTAGCAGTTTCTAGCGCCACGACGTAATAATTGTCACAGATGAAATAAACGCGAACTGGGTGCTGAGTACAGCATATGGCCACCGTACTCGGCCTTCACGGCATTGAGATTGCGAATGAAAATAGCAGGCGTCTCTCATGCTTTTGCGGCACAAAGAGCTTAATCATCGACGGGACTTATTCTCCCATGAGCGTATTCACTAAATGACCTCAATATACGCCGAAACACCCAGATGGATCACGTCCCCATCAACCGTAAATGGCACGGCGCCTGAATATGCTCGTAGCAGAACTTCGCCCAAAATTAACAGTGTCACATAAACGTCGTCTCGCTGAAACACATTAACTGCACGATGTAGGCAACGTGTGACGAAGCAGCGCGGTCGGCCTACCAAAAGGAGCAACTGATGTTTTAATGCCAGCCTTAGTGCACAGTCAGAAAGTGACGACAATGAAACGCATATAGACACTAAAGAAGCCGCCATTTTCTCAGTTAAAAACGCACTTCGGGTCAACAGGAGAAGAGCCGAACTATCATGGGTTTCGAGGAAGATACTGCTTCTTAAAATGCAACGGATCAGGCATATCAATACTTGTTAGACCTTACTGCATCCTCGCGGGTAGATTGTCGCCGTCTTTTGTATGCACTCATATAAACTTGCAGACGTGTCGAACTTTGGCTTGAAGAGGAAATCAGGGTGATCGATAAGGCGGACAGAAAGGATGACTGGCGGACAGTATGTAAACGCGTGTGACAGTTGTCCAGTAAACAAGGGACTCGGTCTGCCCATATATAAGGCGCTAAGAGTATCTCATTGGCAGTTAAGAAAAAACGATTAAAAAGCGGAGCTCAGCATTTCCAGCCACTGCTCAACGGCTGACCCCAAGATTCGTCATTTCTGGCCCTTAATTCTCTGCCAACACTAGAGGTTATTACAGACCCAACCATAAAATTAGACATCCAAAATCTTTGCTTGACCTTAAGGTGAAGAAGGATTGCGGGGTGGATGGAATTCCTTTGGAGTTAACTAAGTAAGGAAACTTGAAATGGTAAAAAATACCGCCCATGCCTTGATTCATCAAATGTTGACCAACAAACATTTCTCTACAGAATGAAATGAACCTGCGGAGTAATTTACCCTATATTTAAAGCGGTTCAGGTAACCGAGTATTCCCATCATCGTGGTATCACACTACTAAAAAAACAAGTAAACCGTAAACTCGCAAGATACACTTCTTATGCATAAGGCTGAAGCAGGCAGTTGATGGGATACTGCGCCAAAATTAAACAGGGTTCCGGATGGGGCATTTCTGCCCTGAACAAATTTTCACTCTGCACAGAATCACTAAGCAATGCGGAGAATTTCAGTTGCCTTAGTAAGCCAGTTATCTCAACTTTAAGGATGTATTTGATTTACTACATCATATGTATGTACCGATTGTTTATCCATGATATGGACAATCTTAAAATGCCATGGACCTCTACATATATACCAGGAACCAGGAACCATGTCTACTGTCAAGGTTGATGGAGAGCTACGTGAGAAGTTCCCTGTTACCGGTGAAGTTTGTCACGGAAATTTGCTTTCACCTTTGCTATTTAATATTGTTCTCGGCTTTCTTCTTTGAAACGTTGAGGAATTTTTCATTTTAGTGGTACGGCGCAGTTCAAGATATCCGGCTAGATATCTTGTCAAAAGGGACTACAAGCTCTGTCACTTAAGGGTCTGGGTATGCAACGCAACTGTGCCAGACAGTTTTCTCATCAACGCCAGAAAGTCAAAGTTTATGAGGAACCCATCTCGCACAGATGACTGACAAATGGAAAAGGAAGTAAGAGCTTCAAGATTTTTACCAATTTAAATACTCAGTTCCATCATCTTCTGCGATATCACCATTCAGCTAAGGTTAAACAGAAGGATCGCCGTGGCTTCAAGTGCTTCTCGAAGCCTGTTCAGTATTTGGGAGGGAAGGAGCTACTCATAACATGAAAATCCATTTACACTTGCCTCCATCGGGTCATTGCTTTTGCGCGGTATAGAGAATTTTTCTAACGAAGAAGAACGACGAATAAATTGCACACAGCAGCATTGGCTCTGATGCAGAGTGAGAGTCAAATGGCAGGACAATGCATAAAGGACTCTATGACTCTATCGGACAAAAGTGATCTCAGTAGATTTTGAGATTAAGAAAAGGAAGTTGGCCCTGTTAGAACAAACTGGCTGAGCACAGACCATTTACTTCGGCTACTGGGTTTATCGTAGACCAAAAGGTGAGTGTGCAACATGGAGGAAAAAGTTAGAGGCCGACCTGTTGTCAGAGAAGAATATATCCTTCCGTAATGCAGTAACCGACGACTTATAGCAAGTGTTGAAAAGCTGCAAATAAACTGGACGTCAAAAACCAGAAACGTTCCGCTTATGGAGATGGATCAAAAAGTAATGATCTCAACAAATTCGACAATGCCTATAACATGAAATTTCGAATGTAAAACGAACTGCAAACTGACTTGAGTAGCGTCGGTTAAAAATTCTGGAGATAATCGCCGTTCCATTCGTTATACTGCCATTTTCTTGAATTACTTCGTGTAACGCTGTCGCATACAACATCACTGCATCGTAGAGGTAACTGGCATACCGATTGGCCTAAAAACAACATCTAATCATTTATTCTTTGGCTTGAAAGTAATCAGTGTAATAGCATTACCACTCCATACTTCAACAATCGGGTAGTGCTCGCGGGGTTGAAAAAGTTGAAAGGTGGTTGGGCGTTGTATTCGGTAACCATTCGCCAAAAATGGCGCCATTCAGGATTGGTGAAAGATACCGGACTTGGAATGATCGCCAACAAGCTTCTACTCAAATCTACGATTCGATTGACAAAGGGGAAATTATGAAATTCTTCCACTGTGTAGAGTGTGGCTAAAACACAATTTAGTAAAGAATTTAAATAACTCGATTGGCTTAAGGTTATCTTCTGTTGAATCTTACATGATAACAAACACAAATAAAGAACAACATAGTAAATGATTTACATTCAAAAATTTTTATGGCTATAAAACCGTTCAACTGGCGCATTAAAAGCGCTAATTATAAATCAGTCAATAATCGCATCTCATCGTAACTTAATGAGAAATATCAATCTTACATCGATAGAAATAGTTCATCATCGCATCATCGGCATTAAGGTAAGTGTATGATGGCTCCAAATAAATCACAACGTACTCCCCCTCTTTCATTAGTTCCAAATCATCCATTGTATAGAGAACATCCTGAAGTGCACTCACGCTTCCAAAAAATACGTATACTGAAAACAGAATATATATAAATATTGGCAAATAACAGAAGATATAAACCCCTTGTTTTCTGACATGTCTCTGCAATTATCGCTCTTATTCGCTTTCTTTCCTCTGTGTTCAATGAAACATACGGCTCCATGAAGCCGCTTACGTTCTGGATTTTGAGATCCTCCATATCGCTCAAATCCTAAGAAACACAAAATGAAAGTGATGAAAATATTTTCTTTAAATGACGCATTTTTCTCACAGTTAGAAAGACATCGATGTTGTTTACTAACAGTCTCATAAATAAAAGAGAATAGGGTTACTCAAGATTATGGTAAGGATTCATAAACGAAACACAACCTCATCCTTACAGCATGATGCCTACTGAAACCTGCATGTCCACGAGCAACAATTACTGTACTACGAAATGACTATGCACTCACGGCAGCAACCATTTATAAATGTAGATTTGAGAAAAACAGACATGATTGAGAGGTTATTATCAAGAAATTCATAATAAAACTATGATAAGATTGTCTGAATAAAATTAACTCTAATTCCAATGGTTAGACCAACGATAATAAAAATGTCTTCTGCTCAACTTTTAAGCAGAAAGAGACCATTTTCATTGTTTCAAAAGTTTCACTAGTTCAAAACCAAAGTTTCAAAAAACAATATTTCAGTCAAATGATCGTCTATTTAAAAGAAAATTAACTTACCTCTATTGCTTTCAACAGATGGGTATTAACAGTATTCATTCCGTACACGATGGAGAACTTCCGCCAGTTATAGTGTTTAAGCAAAGCGATGGCCGCCTTGCTCACCTGACTCTCAGCTGGCACTGTCCGAGCAAACGTGCTGTACCTACTTTTGTCTGACACTGAGTGGTCGAAGCACTTCTAGAAGCAACAACTGATCATTTCTATATTCTCATCGATGCCACAAATAATAGTGAAAAAAAGCTTTCTAATCCAACTCTCATACTAACAAAGAAGTTACTTTGACAGCCGTAGAATTAAATGATTCTTCATGTCTGACAACTGTGAATAAAAATAACTTTGGACAAAAAACAGCAGAGTAACTTTACGAAGGAAACGTAACGAAAATACCACTTCTTAAGCGAGGCGGCTATTTGGTCATTCCTGTAAATCTATCACATTATGCATGACGATAAGGCCATGGAAGAACCTCAACAAACTGACTGCCTTGAAAAAAGTAAACTACGCTCGTTCAATGTAAACCTAATTGGTACGATCTAAATTTATCACCATTTGAATTTCACCACGCCGCCCCACTTTTTAATCATGACCTGCATAGCACCATTACGCAGGGGCAACATATGTTGAAAATAACACAGAGGAAAAAGAGAATTAATTTTCACGGATACTGGCATACAAAACTATCAGACTAAAGATTTAGAACGAAAATCCAGCAGCGATATTGAACGGCTTCAAAAAATGCCCGAATTTTTGAAGTTTACGCTGCAAAACCAGATTCATCTATAACTAACTTATTCCATTTGTACTCCATTCAAACAAATCGCAATAAACTATTAGCATACAAGAATTTAACTTAGTTTGTTCCCGTTAACGAGAGAAGGAAATTCAGTGCTAAGATGTTGAAGAAAGCGTTCCAAGAAAATACAAAAAAATTACTAGACATGATCATCAGTTTAGATCAGTAGAGTGCAAACGTGATTAAGGTGATATTGTGAAAAAAAAATTATTCAAACTTTCATAAAAATGAAAACTTTAATCCGGCTGTAATTAATCAACAAAACGCTAATTCGACGATGTCCAAATTTCCTTTTTCACACATGCTGATATCTACGGTATGCTGAAAAATATTTTATAATCTTAATTATTAATCTGTTCAACTTATTCATCTGAATGATTGAGGAATGCATTAGTTCTCTAACAATACAGAAAAAATTCCTTTTATTATACCGTCTATATTTTAATAAAAAGATAGCTGTTCCTAGACTAAATAAGCTGAAAATCCGAACTATGCTTAAAGAACAAATCAAGAAATGGAGAGGAAATAATATTTTCCACAGTCCTCGGAAATCAGAAACAGGAAAATTCAGCGACAAATTGTGTGACTAAATCTGTAAATGGGCGCTTTACTCTTTTTAAACGGAGAATGGCATTTGTAAGTGTCATTCCTTTAACTATCCTCTAAACAGTCATCAGATACGAAATGGCTCGAAAACACTTCAGGCACTGCAATCTTAAACTATTATGCTGCAGACTATAATCCCTTAAATGTGACAGTAGCTACACTTCTATCCCGCAAACATACTCACCTACAGACATTAACAACCATAAAGCAAAACCTACGAATGAAATCATCGGCAAGTTCTGTGCCGCAGCAATCATTGCTTCAGTTTCGCAGCTATCTTCTGGACCAATGAACGCCATCACTCCTTTATTCCACTGTTCCATAGTCGCACGAACGCCTTGAATTATTTCTGTAAGCCAGTATAAAAGAAAAACACAACATTACTTTGCTGAGTAACGCCTCGAGTATCTGTGAAAATGAAATCAAGCTGATGGTTTGGCAAGATGAGTGAATTTTGGTTCACCATTTCGACTGCATACCTCATTGCGCCAGATATTAAATGACCTAAATCGACTAAGTTCACTATTATAAAACTGAAAAACTGCACGACACCATGAACGAATACGATATATTAAATTAAACGTTGCAGCCGTATCAATCGCTTCAACTTGCCAGTACTAATGTCTCTCTAGCAGTAAAAGGAAACATGCTTAAAAATTAAACATTCTCTGGAACTTCATGCATTTCCTAAAGTTAAGTCCTGAATGCTGCTTTGGTAGTAACAATAAACAATCTTGAAACCCTGCAGGTTAATCTAAACATTATACTCCCAAGACAACCTACACATCGCTCTCCTCTAACATTTATTATGCTCTAAACTAAGTAAATTGCTTACGACCATCGATTCTTATCAAATTCCTTCAAAGTAAACATTTCAGCAAAAGGAAAGCAGCTCAGACTATTCGAAAACCCTCCGTAGACTGTTACAATTGAAAAATCACTGTTATTAAAAAAACTCTAGCAAAGAATAAAATATAAGATTCGACTCTCAATTCTACGCAGTAACAAATATCATCCAATGTTCAGAGGAATCACACCATCGTCACAAAATACTGAGAAGCAATATTTCATCGAATCTATCATGTCTTCGTCATCAAAACTAGGTGAAAAACGTTATTCTCTTCATTTCTTGACGCTGTCAATCACGCAATTCCATTCGTTCCTCTTGCAACAGGTAATTCTCTTCCGTTGAGAAAGTAAACGGCATGGAAAATCTGATTTTACTGTGCAATTGATGAGATCAATATAAAAGGCGGATCCCAATAATTCCGACCGGATTGGTAGTCATAGTGCCCTCTTACACACATTCGTCAAAGTTACACAAACAAGACCGTCAATCTTTGACTCTCACAGCTTAGTTAGAAGACAATGCCAGGATTCACGACAGGTCTACAAGCTACAGAAATTATCGTCTACCGTATATCACCTTGACAGTAATTCCTTATTCTGCCAATGTTCGCGTCAGAGAAGCATTGGATACATCTTTGGTGTCATTTACTTTATGCGTGAAAAATTAAATCTCAAAGTTATTAATACTATCTGAGTAGAATACTGTCAAAATCAGTGCAAGCATTTTAATAAGAACGGAACCGTTAAACCATGAGATTACAAGACAGCTACTAAATACTCGAACGTGGATCAATTTTTATGCAAATAAGCGTAGTTAAATCTATTTGTTGTTCAGTATCCAATACAGCGATCAATTTGCATAGTGATATATGTATTAGTCTTCTGCTAGATTCTGCGCTGTTCATGGCATTTAATATCCAGTGACGGTTCTGAACAAAAAAGCAGTTTTTCAACAAATGGAAAAATTTCGAATAGTCTGGATGGCAAACTTCCATGCCTTGCAGGCAGTATTAAAACGCACCGACAGCATTCCACATTCGAGTTTCAATCCAACTTCGGACTGCTTCTAAACCCACAATACCAAACCCACAAAACAATCAGATTAATATATGCACCATAAAATAAAAACTCAAAGCTAATTCTATGCAATCCAAGAAAAATAGCTCCAGGCGTTCATTTGGACTTTAACTGGTAAGGAACTTTGTTAAATCTGTTTCTCACGTTAACAACTGCTTAATAATGAGTTCTCAGGTCAAACTTACTCTGATCGACTAGAAAACAACCAGAAGAAATCAAATTTAAAAAGTCCGAAAATGTTTCGAAGATGAAAGAGACAGGCCTTCGTCGCAGAAGACAGAAAAAATGTATATTACATAAAATACATTACAGAAATGTACATATTAAAAATGTCCATGTCAGTTACTAAAGTTAAAAACGGCATACTGCAATTCCAGTTTAAAATGAAATCCAAGTATATTGGCATATGAAACGTGCTGCCACCAACTCATTATTCCAAAAAGCTTCAAATTTCTTCATATATACAGTTTAGCTTCCACAACTCTTAAACAAAAATCAGCGGTCATAAGTGCTTCCCATAAATCAATCAAATTGTACTTTCTTCCCGGGTCTAGCAGGACTCCCGATAGAAAGGTCTTAACAAATGCAATTCAGTGGTGGCTGGTCACTGTGCCGGCAGGGTGAAAACAGCCTATAGCATCGTCAACAGCAGCGGGGAAGGGCAGCTCTGGCATAGTTAACATTTAAGTACAGTTTCTATTTTGAAGGTGGAAATAGGGGGATCGTGGCACGACGGTATCACGCTGACTTCAGAATATGCAGACGCCGGGTCCGAATAAAAAAATGACAATGAAAATTACCGCCGTTGCCGGTCCAAGCCCGGTTGAGTAACGAGGAGAGTTGGACACCGTGGCGAAGACTCCGTAAAAGTTTGCCACCTGCCCTTCATTGTAATGACGTCATCCGAA